CGTCTATGATCTATTTATTTCAACCACTACTTATCGCTAAAGCCATCTATAGGAAAACGGCGGAAGCAAAGTTGTACATCTAATAATTTCATGCTCTGCCACGTTGCTTCCACGGTTCACTTTCAATTTCTTATCACACGTGATTTCGATTTTCGATTTCAATTATTTAATAATTCAATTACTTTGGGACTGTTAAATCAGCTGTTAATTATCTCAAGTGCTAGAAAACTACTTTGCTCATAGGTATATTTAAACGTATTTATTTCCGGACTGCGCAACGAGAGTGCAACGGGAACGACGACCAAAAAGAAGAATGCCTCCGGGGCAGATTAGTGACACAGATTATGTCGCTAATCGATATCGCCGATGCACGGAAATGCAACGAGCGGATAATCGGTAAACCTGCTATCATAGTAATGCCGGGTCTACGCGATGACCGCATTCAAGCTTCGTTGCCTACGAATGTTTCGATACGGGGTTAACGGGATGTTGAAAGTCAAAATTGCATATACTCGCAATTGACGATGCTCATGGCCGATGACAACACGTTGAATTATTATTTGGAAGGAAAGAAAGATACATATACATATAAATATCGACCAACGTGACAAATGCGATTTCCGACGAATCTTATTCGTTCAGAAACGACGGATGTCGCTTCGCTTCGGATCCTCCAATTTTTTTAATCGCACGTAGATTGGTTCCATAGGTGGCCACGATCCCGAGTCGTGTGTCGATGTGTACATATCAGTTACGCTGACTGAGATTTATACTATGTCGACCTGAAGAATGAATGCATTGGCTTTTTCGCCGACTTTCATGCAACGATTTATTTGTGTTTTGATAGAAATTTATATTTCTTATCGGGCGATAAATTTAATATTAAATTACGTAGGCGATGACTTATATACGTTAATAAGATATGCATCCAATCAAAATACCGCAACAGCCAAGACACAGTTTTATCAATTGATTTATTCAAATTTCGCAACTTTATGGGCATAGCTCACAAAACATGATACCGAAACCTGGTAGAATACGCGATATACATACACACATTTATATATATACTAGGTGCGCAACTAAGTTTCCGGGTTTCACACATGGATGGTGCTAACGACACATGTAGTCGACATACATGTCTGAAGTTGTGTTTTTTTTATAGCTTGGCCATCTGTTAACAATAACCAGTCGTAATACCAACACATATCGCAACGCAAAAATATTTTTTCTAACAACGAAGATGTCGAGTTTTGTGGCAAATAAACAGCATTTGCGGGAAGCTTTGCTTTTCTGCTTTTCTACTTGAAAAAAAGTGCAGCTGAAGCACGTCGTTTGCTTGAGGAGGCCTACGGCGAACATGCACCATCGAAAACTACCTGTGAAGATTGGTTTAAACGCTTCAGAAGTGGCGATTTCGATACTGAGGACAAGGAGCGTTCCGGAAGACCAAAAACAAGCCGGAGGACGCCGATCTGCAAGCGTTATTGGATGAAGATGATACGCAAACACAAGATCAACTTGCGGAGGCATTAAACATGACTCGCCAAGGTATTTCCAAACGTTTACATACCATGGGAAAAATTCAAAAGGAAGGAAAATGGGTGCCGCATGAGTTGACTGAGAGACAGATGGAAAATCGAAGAGCCACTTCCGAAATTTTGCTTTTGCGGCATGAAAGAAAGAGTATCCTGCATCGAATTGTTACCGGCGATGAGAAGTGGATATATTTCGAGAATTCCAAACGCAAAAAATCGTGGCTTTTACCTGGCGAAGCATCAACATCGACGGCACGGCCAAATCGCTTCGTAAAGAAGACAATGTTCTGCGTTTGGTGGGACCAGAAAGGAATCGTGTACTATGAGCTGCTGAAAAGAAGCCGGGCGAAACTGTCAATGGGCATCGCTACCGACAACAACTGATCAATTGGAACCATGCATTGCTCGAAAAACGGCCTTGCATCAAAACGCTGAAATGGGATCTGCTACCGCACCCGCCGTATTCGCCAGACCTGGCTCCTTCCGATTATCACTTGTTCCGGTCGATGGCGCATGGCTTGGCTGGGCAACACTTGGCCAATTTCGAAGAAGTGCAAAATTGGTTGGATGAATAGTTTCGGTCCAAAGACGCGTCATTTTATCGTCGCGGTATTCATGTATTGCCAGAGAGATGGCAAAAATGTGTAGCTAGCGAGGGACGATACTTTGAATAAACCATTTTTTGTATTTCTCTTGAAATTTTCCATTTTTCATTGATCAAAAAAACCCGGAAACTTAGTTGCGCACCTAGTATATTAAATTAGACCGAAATTTTTAAGAAACCCGTTTCTTTTTTTCTTTCTATGCTTATCCAGATACCGAAAAATATTTTAAGTGTCGCAATTTTGCTCTTTTTGATTACAATGCTAACTAAAAAGAAGAGTATCTTAGAATGTTTCGGCAAAAAACGCATATTCGTGTGAGACGTTACAACAAATTGCAAATAAATCGAAGGTTATCGATATGTGTTGGTATTACGACTGGTTATTGTTAACAGATGGCCAAGCTATAAAAAAAACACAACTTCAGACATGTATGTCGACTACATGTGTCGTTAGCACCATCCATGTGTGAAACCCGGAAACTTAGTTGCGCACCTAGTATATATATAAATGTGTGTATGTATATCGCGTATTCTACCAGGTTTCGGTATCATGTTTTGTGAGCTATACCCATAAAGTTGCGAAATTTGAATAAATCGAAGGTTATCGAAGGTTAGTAAAGCACTAAGAGACGAAGCGGGAGTTGATCGTCATCGTGGCTTTCACCGGGATTCCTGTAGAGCGCCAAGGTGTTGATGAATCGACGCACAGCTATACGCGATGACTGATATTGGATCGCGGGAAGGAAGGAATTATGGTATTCGTCATATGCGTCTCAACGATGTACAAACTTACAAGAGCAAGAATATGCCCAAGGACATGCCGGCGCGGCAAAAACATATAATACTCGCATTAATAGCTTTTTTCCGATCAATTCAGGTGCAATTAATTTAATTGGTCCTGCATCAATTATTGTTTTTACTTTTCTATCGAAGGCGTCAGGTGCCTTCCTCGTAACTTTCCAAGAATGTTTTCCAAGAGAATATGCACTTATACGGAAACATAGATATTAACCATTCAATGCTCGAATGATCGATCTAAATTACTTAATAAGTACTATAGGAAAATTATGACTGCGCAGACATAAGATTCTTACGTAGAATTTTCTTACCGCGAATGACGACGGTATTAACGGCGGCGGCCAAGATATTGCATGTAATAGATCGCAATATGGTCGTCGCGGACTATTGGACGATCCAGAGCAAACGTATTACATATACCGACGGAATCACCAGCCGGATATATTAACGAACTATTATACATACATATATTAACGTTCTATTATACATACACGGAGAGAACGATTTAGTTGAATCTAACAAATGCTTATTTGGGATAGTCGAAATAAATTTTTTGATTGATCGAACAAAATTTTGTTTGACGCAACAAAAACATTTCGTTGGAACTAAGCTGCAACAAAATATTTTTGTTGCGTCAAACAATTTCGTTCGATCAAACAAAAAATTTATTTGGACTATTCCAAATAAGCATTTGTGAAATTCAACAAAATCGTTCTCTCTGTGTACTAACCGATGAATATATTATTCTTTTCCGACGATCAAGTTAATTCTCAATAATTACGCCAGCACGCTAACATGTGCAAAATAGTAATTAAGATTAAGATACAATTTCATTGCCATTCAGATATGTAAAGTGAGGTGATTTGATTGATATATAAAATTTATAATTGCACCTCGAAACATGATTTTAACTTATCGTAAGAAAAAAGGAAAAGAAAAACAAACGAGCCACAGATTCTAAATTTCAAATCAGACGAAGAATAAATTGTCGTAAAACTAGAAAGTAATAAGACAGTGTGAAAACTTCCTGATCGCCTCAGACGCAATTCCATTATTTACGATAAGAGAACAGACGTGAAGCATCGATCGCTTTGATTCGACTCTCTTGCGCGATCTTCGATTCGACTTTAAAAGTAAAATGCGCTTTCGCAAGGTCATCTTCTGACCGCAACATTTGAATATGTATTGTCAATGCGTGGGCCAAAGCAAACGCCTTCCGTACCAGGTGCGCGACTCTGTCGAGGTAAGGCCATCTTAATGGCCACTTAACGTGAGGAACGACATAGCCCCGCAGAGGGTTAATTACGCGATTCCGCCCTAACAACGCGGACGTCGTTAACGAATGTTCGAGTATCGGACGACCTTCGGGGATTCACCTTCAGGAGAACGGGTGATTTCGGTGGATAACGCTGAACAGGTAGCAACATCCTCGCGAGTGGGACGGCATCCTCATGACTTGATTGGCCGGCTTTACACGTGCTCGTCGATCGCCACCACCGCGTCCGTCCGACCCGGACCGGCGAGTTGGCGAGCCGACTGCCATGGTGGGAGTATTGTATTTTTCAAATCTCACCGATCCAAGTTTCCGTCACTCTTGCACCGATGCGCATGCTGCACGCACGAGAAGCTCAGTGGCGTACGACAGGTGTAAAAGGTGGTGGATAGAAATTGGACGATCAGCTAAAAATTCGTCACACAGTGCGACGCGAGATTGCTCAGCTAATAGGTGGCTAATTCCGCAGAAAGGTATTTCTCCCGAAGAACAAGCAGGATCGCGAGGATCGATCCGCGACGCGCATCTTTCGCGCTTCGAATTTCCGACCCGAAGTTCGCACCTCGCGATTGAGCTTCGACAACTTCGGCCGTATACTCAGTACGGAGAAACCGATCGAGGTGTTTCGTGCTCACGAGGAGGCGGTATCGCGGAAAGATATCGCAGACCAGAGATCGTTTCGTGGTCGGCCGATCGGTCGATCGTCAATCGTTTGTTCGCTCGTTCGCGTGACGAGCGCACAGGGAGAGAGAGAGAGAGAGAGAGAGAGAGAGAGAGAGAGAGAGAGAGAGAGAGAGAGAGAGAGAGAGAGAGAGAGAGAGAGAGAGAGAGAAGCTCGTGCTAAAGTTTGACGGACGGATCGCAGATACAAGGGTCGACAAAATTACGTGTCGCAATCGACGTGCGTGTGATCGACGGTAGCCTTGCCGAAAATTACATACTATATCAACAACAGCATTATTATCGGCTAGACGCGCGTTAACGTCGGCCGATTTCTTGCCGCGCCCTGCAACGATTGACTGTAAGGACTCGGCTTCCTCCTCGTCTTCAGAGCCGCGGCAACGTGCTCTCGTCGTGTCTGTACGGGCTGCAGTCGATCAACGAGTTTGTAAGCGCTGACGCAAGTGGAAAGCGTCGCATTTTCTTTCTCACTGTCGCGCACGCACGCACGCACACACGCACTGTGAGCCGACGCAAGGTAAACCACGCCAACATGAAGGACCTGATGATCCTGTGGCACTCCCTGTCAGGCCGCAATTACTCGCGCACGGCTAACGTCAACCCCGACAACTCTGACGACACGGGCGACCAAGATGAGTCGAAGACGCAACCTCAGATCAAGAACTTCCGAAGAAAGTCCCCGGTGATGGTGAATAGATTCCTCAACGGCGCTGTACCGGTGAATGCTGGCTACAGGGAAAAGTGGTCGAGAAGTAAGTAGAAACAGGAAACTACGTTTCGAGATCGAACTCTCGAGAGACGAACGCTCAAATCCGGAAAAGCTAACAGAAACGCGGCGAGAGACTGACTAAATTTGTGTTCGTGCGTGAAAATTGCGAGTGTAATCCTTTCTGTTCGTAAAGAGCGACAACCAGTTTGAGCTGGATTTAACGTTCTTATTCTCTCGGATGTGAATGGACGCGATACACGCAGATTCGAAGGCCAAGTCCAAGGAAATGTTCAATCCCATTCGAAGTTTTACAAAGTACCTCGACTCGAAAAGTTGATGTCATTGCCAGCTAAAATTGATCTCGATTCCATAGCAATTTCAATATGAAGAGGTCATTTGCATTAACTCGGTCTCACTTTGCGTCAATATCTCTCCTTTGTTAATAAGCGACTGTATCCTTGTTTGCACGGAATACCATCGTGGCCCTGGTTGGTCATTGTCCCAACTTTTATTGATCAAAGATGAGGATCACATTTCCGAGGACAATCAGGTCTGGTATTAAACGAGCGGTAAAATATAATCGGCTGATTAAAGCCTGCAACATTTTTCTTCGATGAGTTTTCTATCTTACGTCGTACTCAATAGAGAAATTCGCTTTTTTACTCAGTTCTCAGGATGTTTATCTTTCTAATAGATGCGAAATGAATTATACAACTCATAAAAAAAAAAGCTGTTATAGCCTTTAATAATTAATAGATAATAGATTCTGACATAAAAAGATTATGTTCGCACTTAACCGATAATTGCTTCGATTATTCCTTTTAGTCTGTCTCAGGCTTGTACGTTTCTGAATCAGTATCGATTCAGATCATCGAGAAGAAAAATCTTACGCGCACAAGAAATTCGTTATATTGCCGAAAGCGACAATAAGAACACGCGGGTGCAATAAAGTGCAACTTTGTATCGTACACGAAAATCACAGGTTGCGCCTGAGATAAAGAGCGTGTAGAAACGAGAGCGCGTAAAAGGTGGCCAGCCAAAGAATCGGTTCCAGTTCGCTTTAGTTCTAAGATGCACATAATTACGGTAACCGACCAGTCTTAATTGTGCGATCTCGTTTTGACAAAAACGAACAAACAAACGGGAAAATCTAGCGAGCCAATAGTAACCGCGGTTCAATTAAGCTGCTCCGCTTAGCCGAGCACGAGTTATTGACTTTCCCTGGATTGCAACATTGAAATCTCACGAGAATTTCGCACGAATATGCGAACGGCCGCATAATCGGTTGAATCAGAAGGCATACGCCTGTACCATCGGCAAGCAGGTGCAGTCTGTAATTTGGCTACACGGATGTAATAACCTACCTAGTGTATTATGGGGAGCAAAGAAGATTGCTCGTTCCTTCACGACTTTAATCACATTTCTACGACTGATCCGAACGTAAATTAGTACGACGTAAACAAACAAAATAACGTCAGGATAAGAATAACGTTTCCTGCGCAATGAGCCGAAAAAGTTCTGTATTTTGATATTTGAAGACGAATAATCTAGAAGAAGCCGTGAATATCGCGGCGACGAATGCCGCGACACATCGTTTGTGTCAAGTGACCAAAAATAAAATACCTTCGTGGACTCGTGAAATTCATATTTTTCATAATCTTGCTCTCTCATTTCTGATCTTTTTCATCGTGGTAAGACCACGTAACGTACTTTTAGAATCGGCAAGTGTGTATTAATTGCCGAATGAAACAAAGGAAAGCGGACGACCGATCGCCTATAAATCTCAAGTTAATGAACCATTCGATAGACAAGTCACGTCTCGCACTCAGTTCCTAGTTTGGAACATACGCGTCGTCGAATCTCAAGAGCAAATCTTACAAACAACTCTATGTCTAAACTACGATGAAAGAATGTAAAGCTAAAGTTGTATCTTTCAGTCGATAAAATTACGATATCATGAATATTTTTTGCCTTTAAAATAGATAAATGTAATGAAGACGCTTCGCCGTAAAATTTATAATATCTTTATATTATCTATTTGAATTATCATGACTCGGCTCATTGACGTTATCACATATTTTCTTTGAGAGATATCGAAATCTAGTCTGGGACTTACATGCACATTTCGAGAATAAAAAACAAAATCTATAGGTTGCGAAGTTTTAATGCACGAGCGGCCAATGGATTGTGGTATGCTTATTTTTACTCGGCAATTGATAAGATTCTTGCGCACTTCCTTCATTTTATCATACCGCAATTTTGTATATACCGCAATATCGTTACACAGACAGTGTAAAACCATTAATTTCGACGTTATTATTTCTTTTTGTTTTAAAATCTACAAAATTTATTCAAATTAAATAACTAGTATGCATCTCCGTCGAATAGCTTCGCAACAAATCGACAAATCGTATGGTGTTTCGGAATCTGTATAAAACGTTATCATTTCGTTAACAAAAAAAATTTAACATATTTGATCATACCGGTATCATTTAAGCATACGAACATCTTATTTTAGCATATTTAAGGAATATGATAAAAAATATATCGATGCAAAAATTACCCCGGTACAATATAATAAGCTATAAATAATTCTTATTTATAGCTTCACGATAACACGATGCAACTAATTTTAATTATCGAATCCCAATAAAGTATGGTCAATTAAACTTAAGAAATTTCTTGTAGAGAATTCTTTTGTATAGACTCGTTATAAATAGAAATTTCCCAATCTTCATCTCTACAAAAAATCCTTTGTATATATTAAAATCAGTTGTATATATTAAAATATAAAAAAATATTTTACATTAAATTTTATATTAACAAATTAAAATATAAAAAAGTATTTCATATTAAACTTCATATTAAACTATATAAAATTTTGCCATTAAAAATTTGTTTAAATAAAATAGAATTAGGCAAATTTATATATTTAATTATTTACATCTACACTATTATTTACACTACGATCTACGTGAATATTAATGTATTGACTTTTCGAGCTATGAAGTTACAAGAAAAAAATAATTAACTTTACAGGATTAACTTAATTAACTTTACGATATCGTACGGTATCGCAAGCCAATATCACGCCTTGAAGGGATCGCTCGATTTTATTTCAATCGATAAGAACATTTATTATCACATCACGCTCATATCATATATGTCATAAACTAACAGCAGAAAAATGCGTTTGGTTCGGTAAAATAAAACGGCTCGGTCAGTATGTCGATTAATCACGTTCGGTTTATTTCGAGGTGCACTTCGCACGAAATACACGCTGCACGCGTGCTCCCGCAGAAGGAGAACCAGTTAAGACAAATAAACATATGAACGATATATAGGTATACTCGTGTGTGAAAGTAAAAGCTGGTCAAAAGCGTGCCGCTTACTCGTGACACATTTTTTTGCGCGCATTGCCGTCGCGGTCGGATAAATAAAAGTCATCAACTTGCGCCAGAATCTGCGACTATACACATGATCGTGTGTTGAACGAGCGCTATAAATCATGTTTAAACTCAAAAACTATTAAGCAATAAAAGAATAACAACGTGGATTAAGATAGATAATGGTACGTAGATATATACGAATCTCAGCTTTGAAATCTTATAAATCGAGCAGAGGTATTTGGCAAGTCGCTTTTCAGAAACCCTCATCTTAAAGCAGCGTAAATCACTTTCGCACAAGCATAAACCTGTTTCGTGTCGGCAATACGCAGTATCCATTCATCCGAGTAGGATGAGAATGTTAACTTTGACGGTCGCTGTCACACTTTTACAAGACTTCGTTTTACCAACCATTGTTTTATAAAGAAATAATGAAATACATAAATAAATAAGAAAATCAATAGAAAATTGCAAAAGAATAATTTCAAAAACAAAATTTCGATAATAACAATTGCAATATCATAGAAGCTATATTATAGGAGCTATTATTATTATTATTATTATTATTATTATTATTACAAAAGTCATATAAGATTAGATATATAAATTTACGTACGTAAGATTTGAACAGTTTCTTTAAATACTGCATCTGAACAAACTTTCGTAATCTGTCAGCAACAGCCGAAAAATTTCCCGAAAATATTCCTTCTAAATTTCTTTCCTCAATCACCAAAGTGTCGAGTTCAGATACCCATAAACTTTATATTGTTTGGTTCGCGTGTTTCGGCGGCAACATTTAGCGACGAATTTAGCAGGTGCAAGTTAAAGACTTCACAGGCAGCTGCTACGATAACATCTACCACAAAAACCTCGTTAAAACAAAAAGATCGACTCTGAAATAACGCAAAAGCGACTTTTGAAAACAGGCGTAATCTCTAACAAAAAAAATCGTTCGATATATTTGTCTGTTTGTGAGGAAAGTTCGTCTCAGTCAATCTGTAACTTGAATGTGAACAATCCGCTTTAGCGATGCTCGTCGAAAGCGAGTGCGATTATAATTTTTCCTCGAGCGAAAACAGAACGTGCAATTGAGTCGCGGGCATGCGATTGATAAAAATAGCTTACCAAAACGAGATATCCCACGTAAGCCGTTATCCCTTTCGTATACGAAGGACGTAACAGGCAACCACCGATGATCATTGTTGACCACGCGCTAGTAATGTATCATATCGCGCCGTTCTACCTTTGTGAGTTTCGCTTTGTGCGATACGCTTTAACGGTGCATGACGGGTTATAAATGAATCGGACAGTCAGCTATCAAGTTTTAGACAACGGTGTATCTGCCGGCTGATGCTTTCTCATTCCATGCTATAATGTGATTCTACCATTAACCTAAAATGCGCAGTCAACTATCCGATATCCCGTGAGCTTATCCACCTAATTATCATTTTTATGGGCTTGCATATACATAAGAGGCCGCTAAGCTATGCGGATGTATCTGTTAGATGCAGTATCGTTCTTGAAGTACAAATGTGGGCAAAGTTAAATATTAATATATATAGTGGAGATTTTTTGACTATTCATTTACGTATATACGCGTACTATATAACGCACGTGCAATATTCAGACAATAAAAATTTCTTTCTTCTTGATCGGT